TTTAAATTATTTTATATGCTAATATTAACAAAAATATTTTTAAAAAATAAAAAATATTATTTCAATATATTAAAAAAACATTTTAAAAAATAAACCACAAACACCCTATAAATAAACATGCTAAATGTCAAGGGCTTTTAAGTAAATTCAACACCAAAGAAACTCTAACGAATACCTTACCCATCTTTTTAGTTCCTTTCCCTCTCTCTGTCTCTCTCCCTCTCACTCTACTGTCTTAAAACTCTGTACATTTACTGTCCCTTTACAAACACCATCATTTTCTCCTAAGCTTCTGTCTGAATTTCAGAACTGAAAAACAAACAGTGAGCGATTTTTTGTGTGTTTTCGAAATTGAAGTAATGGAGACCGAAATGACCGAATCGGGTTCGGGCTCGAGAATTCTGGGCCAAGAAAAAGGGTTGCGTTCTGGGAGTATGAAGGCGGAGATTGATACATCCGCTCCGTTTGAGTCAGTTAAAGAAGCGGTGAGTCGATTTGGTGGAATCGGGTACTGGAAACCCTCTCAACAAAAACCAGAGGTTAACTCTCTCTCTCTCTCTCTCTATGAAATTGGGGTTTTGTTTTTCTTGCTAAATTTGTGCGTCATTTCTTTTAAAAGTCTTCTTTTTTATAACTTCTTTTTTTTAAGGAAATGTGTGTTTTGGATGTTAAAAGTTTGAATTTTGATAATTGAGGCATGTATTTGTGTCATAGTTGTTAGGAAATCATGACGTTATTTGAAAAATGTGGATGACTATGTTGGAGTTGCAAAATTTGTGGGACAAATTTAAATGTTGCTATTATGTTTTGTGTTGTTTAGAAGACTGTGTACTGGCAATTTTAGCAACAAAAGATGATCTGCTGGATTTTGAATTTTCGTCCGAAGGCTGTACATTTTTATATTTTAGTTTTATTAGAGACACTTTGCTGTTACAGTTACCATGAAATCTGCCAGGTCATGGATCAACTCATACTTAAGGGAGGTAGTTAGTAGTTGCGGGTGAGAAAATCTGAGTGTTCATGTTCTGTAGGTTGTTATTGAGAATTTCAGTAAAGGGGATCAAGTTCAACATTGATGCATGATGGGGGATCTATCAATGGAGAAATATATTCAAGCATTTAGATTTTGTATATCTATGATACATTATTCAGCCTGGAACTGCTAGTTGTGTATGTGTGCACTAATACCGCACAAGAGACATTAGGTGTGCTAACTTTGTGTTTGGATGCTCTCTTTTTTTTTTCCTTTTTTTATTCTCCCGTGGTGCTTGATGTCCTTCCAAGGAGATTCACGCTTCTTGTTTTTTTTTCCTGTTCAATATTGGCAGGACATGGAAAATATTGACATTGCAAAGGTGGAAGAACAAGCAGTGCTGCTGGAGAAAGACCTGTTTGTGAAAGAAAGGGAAACACTGGATATTTTAAAAGAACTAGAAACTACAAAAGGGATTGTCGAAGAGCTTAAGTTAAAGCTGCAGAAACAAGCAGCTGAAGTTAATGCGACCCTGGAGTCAAGTGCAGATGCTAGAAACGAGACTTCTAATTTTGATGAAGAAGAGAAGGATAACCTTGAAAATCCTAAGGGGGAAGAGCTTAATTTAAAGCTACAGCAACAAGCAGCTGAAGTTAAGGTGGCCCTGGAGTCAAGTGCAGATGCTAGAAATGAGACTTTTAATTTTAATGAAGAAAAGAAGGATAACCTTGAGGATCCCAATCATCAGAATTTGATGGGAGGTTTGAGCCCGTTGCCTTCTTCAGCCCCTGGCTTAATTTTATTGGAACTCAAACAGGCCAAGTTGAACCTTTCTAGGACTACTAATGATCTTGCAGACACTCGAACTTCTGTTGAGTTACTTAACAAGAAATTAGAGAAGGAAAGAATTTCACTTGAAAAGACTCGTGAGAGGTTGACCACGAATTCCTCTAAGATATCATCTCTTGAGGAAGAGCTGAACCAGACCAAAGAAAAGCTTCAACGGGCAAAAGATGCTGAAATGAATGGTGGTTCTGATAATCCTGTGGATATTTCAAGGGAGCTCCAGCGACTGAGTTCTGAAGCAGAGCAGTTCAAGAAAATGGGTAATGCAGCGAAATCTGAAGTTTTGAGAACATTATCGGAGATTGAACAAACAAAAAGTAGGATACAAACAGCAGAGATCAGGTTGATTGCTGCAAGAAAAATGAAGGAAGCGGCTAGAGCAGTGGAAGCTGTTGCGCTTGCAGAGATCAAGGCTTTGTCAAGCCATGAGAATTCATCTGTGAAGTCCACACAAAAACCTGAAGGAGTAACTCTTACATTTGAAGAGTACTCGTCTCTAACCTGCAAAGCTAGAGAAGCTGAGGAACTTTCCAAGACTAAGGTAGTAGATGCCATGCTTCAAGTTGATGAAGCAAATGTTTCAAAGATGGAAGTCTTGAAGAAAGTGGAGGAAGCTACAGAAGAAATCAAAACCAGCAAAAAGGCCTTGGAAGAAGCGCTAAACAGAGTTGAAGCTGCAAACAAGGGAAAGCTGGCGGTTGAAGAGGCTCTGCGCAGGTGGAGATCTGAGCATGGGCAGAAAAGGCGTTCCATTCACAACTCTGCTAAATTTAAAAACCCCCACCAGTCTCACCATAGGAGGGACTCTCGCTTGCTTGATGTGAATGGGCTGAACCTAGTAAGTGATGGCTCGACACCTGTTTTGAAGCCAACCCTCTCAATAGGGCAAATACTTAGCAGGAAACTACTTCTGCCAGAAGAGTTTGAGACAGGGACAATGGCAGAAAAGGGTACTGTGAAGCGAAAGGTGTCGTTGGGTCAAATGCTTGGTAAACAAAATGTTGATGTACCCCCAAGCTGGAAGGTTGATAAGGAGAACTGTCAGAAGCAGTTTTCTGGAAAGAGGAAGAAGTTTGGATTTGCTCGGTTCTCGCTTCTATTGACAAAGCAAAGTAAGAAAAAGAAGAAGCCAACTCCAAACTTGAGGTGATCCAGTGTTCAGTTTCTCTGGTTTGCATCGGCACTAACTTCTAATTTCTTCGCGCTTATTGCTTTTACTCCCTCTTCCACTCTCCTGTTTCGTAGTGTTCCTGGTGTTCTCATGTAGTTGTTTATGTTAGGTATTTGTCCTTAATATGTTTGCTGTAAGATGTTATGATATGCATCTTTTCTTTGAAGCAGCCAGCCGGTTGCAATGCTTTAATGTTTCTGCCTGCTATTTGATGTCATCCCCTTAAAATGGCTCTGTCTGGTGATCAAAATCCTCTCATATTATCGTCGTACTCCAATCTGATGTTCTTGATCAAGGAATGCTGTCTGATTTCTGAGCAATGACTTCTCTGTTTCGAGATTAAAATGGAGCACCTAAGGCTAAGAGAGTTTATACTTGAAAACAAATTGATTGGGACGGAAGGCATGTCAATTTTTTGACCTGCAATCACTATGGAACTATGTACTACACATCGAACAGTTCTCCATCATGTTTAATTAGCAGCAAAGCAAAGCCTAGATGCTGCCAAGACTTTGTCGGTGAAAACGTAAACAAAAGCACATGAAATTGACCTTTAAATCACTAACCATTCCATGTGCTCCAATGCGTCTCGGATTTACTGTCTGCCATGTTTACTAAAAATTTTAAGCACTTATTAATAATAGATGATTTTTAAAATGTTTTTTATTTAGAAATATATTAAAATAATATTTTATTTATTTTTAAAAAATTAATTTTTATATTAGTATATTGAAACAATCTAAAAACATATAAATAATTATTAATTTAAATTTTTTTTTGAAAATTTTAAGAATGAAATTGAACCATGTTTCCAAATGATCCCTTACAAAAGAATTGAACCTGGTCTACTGTAGGATGAGGTAAATTGCATGAGGATTCAACACATCTTTATTGGCATCAGTACGAGGACTTGAATTTTTTGGTTTTGAATGATAAAGAGTATCCTCACAAGTCACAACTATTTTTACACTAAAACCAAGTTCTTATAGATCAACTCGTCGTCTTAAATGAACTCTTGAGATTCTGAACCTTACTGACAATTTGAATTTTGAAGATTAACATTAATAACAATCCATTCCAAGAATTCGCCATGTTGGTAAACTGTGATTATAAAACTCAACTCGGATAATGTTTAATTTTAAACTAATATTATTTTTCATTAAGAAATTTTTTTATTTTTTTCAAAACTTAAAAAAAAATCCCAATTATTAATCTTGTATTGTGGCTCGTTTGGTTAATTTTTAATACCTGGTTTGGCAATATACTTTATTATCTTGTTTGTTTTGTTTGTTTTTATAGTTGAAAAATGTTTTTGTAAAAAGTTAATTTTTTTGTTTAAATTATTTTTTAATTATTTTTGGATTGTTTTATATGGTAATATTAAAAATAAATTTTTAAAAATAAAAAAATATTTTAATATATTTCTAAACAAAAAATATTTTAAAAAATAATCATTATCACAATACCAAATAAAATAAATCATGCTTCTTGTATTTTGAAAAGTAACAAATGGTAGCTAACTCACAACTTGTATTTTAGATAAGATTAAAGGGGGTGTTTAGCCCTTCATTTCAACCAAGTTCTAAAAAAAAATTGATTTTTTTTAAAATTAATTCTTTTTACATGAATACCCTGGACCCCAAATCGCTATTATAATCATGCCTTAAATACAAAGTGTGCAAATTGCAAATAAACTAGTATTTATACACAATTATTTTCTTGCCAAAGAAAAGGATTGAAAATTTATTTATCCCATTTTGTTTGCTAGTCAAGCTTTATATGAAAAAAAAATAAAAGATGTAATGAAAATATCTTCCTCCTCCCTATTAGCAAATACCAATCCATCAGGTTGGAATATTCTTCCGCGTTGCTTCCTTACATCAACTACTCTTCCCAGCCAGAGACCCAAAGTCGAAACTTCACCATCCACTCACATTTCGCCACGTCATCGACATTAACATTTAACCCTCCATTCCCATAGCAACACGTTTCCAGGTGATTAAACATTGAATTTAAATAACCGTGCGGGCGGCTTGAGAAGCCCAACAGCAATTCTCCTCCTCTTTGGCTTACCTGACAGACACTAAAATCAAATCCCAAGAGGAGGAATCGGTTTCCTCTCTGCTTGTTAAGGTAAATAAACTCTCTCGATTTCTATTATTTATCTTGTTTGGTTCCGGGTAATCCGTATTTCTGTTTCCAAACTATCCTTTTGCGTTTACTTTTCGTCTATTTCTTTAATTTTTATTAGATATTTTTCGATTTCATCGATTTCTTTTTTCTTCAAGTAATATTTATTTATTTGTTTGATGAAAAATCGGAATTGATCCATTTTTTACTCAATTGTGCTTATTTTTAGTTTTAATTTTCTTGTTTGAGCTCTGATTATCGGTTATTGTCAGGTTAAAACAAGCCATATATTATTAAATTTCCAACCTAACCTAGCTTTGAAGCATCTAATCTACGGTTAATTAGCCAGCTAAAGATGCAAATTAATTAATTGTATTAAAGAAGAAACAGATTTTTAGCTAATTGTTAATCGCATCAATGTGAGGGGCAAATGACTTTATTGATTAGGGCATTGCTATGCAGTGTTGCTGTTGACTCTATCAAAGTGTTGTGTTTAGATGTCTGATGGTGACTTTAAATGCTCAAAGTTGTTGCGAAGGGGGATGCTTGGGGTTGTGAGGATTTTCGATAAGTTAATAGGTTATGTGGAGCTGTGTTCATGTAATGCTTGATGTTGGGCTATGATAATAGAGATAGTTATGAGTTTTAATTGGATGGTTAGATTGTGGAAGAAGGAATGTCATTTTCCCGGGGAACTTGTAACTGCGAAAGCAACTGGATATTGTAAGACAAATGTAGTTTGGAATAGTAATTGTATATGGATAGGATGTGTTTACTTGCCATGTAAAACTCACGTCTCAGCAATTGTCATGAATCCAGATTGTAAGTAATTATGTTCTTCTGTTTTGTTGTCATCGATTTTGTTTGCATATTTGTTTGTAAATGGCTGGGAAGAATTTGTTTGGTTTTAACTTGATGTAAGTTCAGGATATTATGGACTTGAGGATCGGGTTGTTGTTTCTTCTTGCTCTGGGTGCTGCTGGCTCCATTGCGGCTAGACAAATGGCAGCCACTGAGATTTTTAGTACAACCGCAGAAACCTATGAAATATCAGGTTATCTATTAACCCTTTTCATATACTAATTAACAATCTCTGCAATTTCAGGCCTATAGAGCCGTTGCAATTGCATGTTTTAAATTTGTGCTGGTGCACGTGGCTTCTTGTATTGCTTGCCCGGGAAAATTGATTAAAGTTATGTTTTGTTTAGTCAGATGTTAAATTGTAGCCCAGTGATATCTGAACTTATTATGTAACAGTTTTATTGGTTAAGCCCTTTAGCAGCTTCATGTTAACACCCTGCAGAGCACGCCAATGGAGCATGTTTAATTTGGTGATGTCCTGTCACCGATCTACTTGCATTTTCGCTGCTTAGCTTGTGTTTTTCTTCATCTTTCTTTTTTCTTTTCTTTTTTTGTCAAGGTTTGGGTTGGTGGGGGATTAGATTGCATATTGCGAGTTTTAGATTGTATATTGCACTGCCTCAGAAAGACATGATCAATGTTACTGTCTCACTGTCACCAAAGTGAGGGGGCAATGTTACTGTCTCACTGTCACCAAAGTGGGGGGGCAAACACTTGGGGTGATGGGTGCTGGCAGTAATTATAGCATTCTCCTTGGTGTAACAAGGTGTTTTGGCTGGAGGCTGACAGGTCCCTCGTGAAACATATGCACAAAATCATCTGTTTATCTAAATGTGATCACTTTTTGGGACCTTATTCTCACTCATATCTAGAAACAAAATTGTCTCATCTTTGAAATCTGTTATTTTCCAAAGCATGTCCTTGTATGATCTCTCCCATTTAAACATGCTTCAAATATGTGGCTTCCAATCAGCTGTCCTTTCTGAATGGAAAGGAAATTTGCTTTTTCTAGGATTGTTGATATGAAGTTTAATTCTGAAAAAGGTTCGAAATAATGATGCTTTGCTTCTTTGTTCAGTTGAAATAATGGAAAACCAGGAGAAAGAAAAGGAAATTCAAACAACAAACAACGTTACCAGGAAAGATGAGGTGTGCACATTGTGTGAGGAGTTTGCTTCGCAGGCACTTGATTACCTGGCTGAAAACAAAACACAGACTGAAATTCTTGAAAAGCTTCACAGAAGCTGTTCACAGTTGACTACTTTCGAGCAAGAGGTAACCTTTAGTTTTTTGGTTGGTGATTATTGGTTGTTGAATTGGAAGAAATTTTTTTGGCCCTTCACCTCTTTCCAGCACAGCAATATTTTGTTTCTGGTTTGCCGATTGAATAATTCTTGCATGTTGATCGATATTATGCATCTGATAATATATAATTCTGAGCATCCACTACGGTGGAATTGGTCGGCAGCGAGGAACTGCGATCATTAACACCTGCTGCAAAATTTATCAGGGAGATTTTTTGTTTGAAAACTAGGTAGACCCGAGTGGATAGGTTGAGTGCTATTGTTATTCCCATTTGCTATAAATACAAATGAGCATGTTATCTCTGTACATGGCAGTCGATTACCAATTGTAGTTACATGAAGTGGATTCCTAAAATGGAAAAACCTCATCGTCGACATAAGTTCAGAAGGTGTTATTGTACTACTGGATAGTTTGTTTAAATGGTCAACGAACTGCCACAAATGCTAATTGGATAGTTAATGATTGCAGGAAGTGTTTGTGTTATGCAATGTGAATAATTATAGGGTAAATGCATGCACTGCAAATTTCTATTTCTAGGTTTATGCATGATAGTGTCTACACTGACCAAATCCACCCAATATGGTTGATTAGTGGTGGAACTCTGGCCTTGGAGAAGCTTGTAAACATTCCGTGTATCTTAAAATTGTTCAATACTTGATCATGATACTTAACCAATTCTAATGCTTTATATTTTGTTTACACAGTGCATCACTTTGGTGGACTACTATTCTTCTATTTTCTTCTCATACATTTCCTCAGTTCACTCTGAAGATTTCTGTCGCAAATTCAATCTCTGTCAAGAAATGAAAATTTTCTCTGCAAAACACAATGATGATAGCTGTAGCATTTGCCAACGTGCTATTTCAGAAGTATTGGTCAAGTTGAAAGATCCTGACACAAAGGTTTGCATTTGACTGTTGGCTAATCATAAGGAATGATGATTATAAAGGATGTTTTGTCATTACTGCTGCATTATGTAGACGCAGTTATTGATCCATCACTTGTGTTAGATTTGTTTTCTGGATCAGTGACCAACCAAAGACCAGAAGGCACCCTTCTGGCAATCCATTTGTCTGACCGACTAGCAATAAATAACTGATTAGTTGTTAATATCATACCCTATGAAACACCTGTCCAGTCCAGCAGAAAAATAGAAACTGGAAATGGAACTTTCTTCCTCTTCCTCTTTGTATTTTCTGGAAACCGTTTAGTGAGATTATTAAATTGTCACCTCATTGCAATATAGAGGTGTGATTAATTTATACAATGATAGGCCGATGTTAAGCCAGTCTCAGCCATAGAAAGAGCAAATAATCTCTAAATCAATATTTTGAAATTCTCAATAGTTATGTGAGGATGGCTGTGATGCCATTAGGCATTATGGACTCAAATAACTCTTGAGAATTTAAAACTAGTTTATATCTTTATATTTATCATGTATGATGCATGTTTTGCAGCTCTTTACTAATTAGTCAACCAATTGCTTATTCTTGCTTTTTTTTCTTTCAGCTGGAAATAATTGAGTTGCTTTTGAAGGCATGTAACTCCATGGAGAAATATGCTAATAAGGTGAGAACAATATTGGAATTTTTGTGTATGTTTGGTATTATGGTGTAGGGTGCTTTTAAAAAATATTTGTTTTGTATTATGGTGTAGGGTGCTTTTAAAAAAAAAAAAAATTTGAAAATGCATCAAAATAATTTTTTTTCTGATTTTTAACAACAGCGCATTAAAATCATTAAAAAAACACTAAAATAAAGCATCAATTTGATGCTTTTTGAAGGAAAATGCACTTTTGAAAGGCATCTAAAAGTGGAAGCTACTGCACTTCCAAGGTTTCGTACATTAAAGCATTACACTTTAGTTAAATTATATATTTCAGAAGATCACTGCACCTGCACCACAATTTAATTAAGCTTTTCTATCTTGTTAACACGACTATTAAGAGATGGCCACCTATTTGATTTGTCACCGCTCTTAAGTACATGATTGTGGCAATCCTGGTCGATTGATCAAATTTCATTCTATACTCATGCTCAATGTTTTGCATTCTAGAATCACCATATATAAGAAAACTACACATTGAACTCTTTTAGGCAAATTAACGAAACACTAAATTGAGATTTTAGTGGCATTTTGCCTGGCTGTTAAAATTCTCGGTTGAGTTACATGAAAATTCAACATTCGATTTCCTGTTACTGCTCAATTTTATATCTCTAACATCTTGTTTGAAATATTGGCAGTGCAAAAGGATGGTTTTTGAGTATGGTCCCGTGATCCTTACCAGTGCAGAGCAATTTCTTGAAACAACAGATCTATGTTCAATGTTGCATGCCTGTGAAGTGCCAGAAGACAACATTGAGCAGGCTTCGAAGGTGCTAAAGGCTGATTCATAAACACGGCGCAAAAGACAAACTAGAAACAAAATGCTCATGTTCCAGGTGTGTGTATGATTATTATGCTTCCGTTGTAATTATAATGCACTGTAATTTCAATTTATGACTGAAATCATTTCATCCTGTAATATAAAAATCGTAGATATGGAAACTCATTTATCTACTCGGCACAACTTCTGGATAATCGAATTGGGTTGGTTAGCGAACTTCGGACCTTTGCCATTTTAAAGTTCAGGTTGCTGATAGACGAAAAAGAAAACCCACAATAGCTTTATCGTGGTAACGCTTTTCCCGAAAAAGAAAACCTTTACATTGTGCTCGCTCCATTTAGTAACTTTTCTTTTATTTTTCCTTTTCTCGTACTCAATATAGTTTTTGGTAACGCTTTTCCACCTCCGGTTAAATTTGGTGATTCCAATTCTGGAGTTTTTCATTCCCCAATCTGGAATAAGAAGTGTTATCATAAATTAAACCCTAACAAGGATGGCTTGGGTATTATTTAAGATTATAGTAGTTGTTTTTTTAAAATATTTTTATTTAAAAATGTATTAAAATTTAATAATATTTTTATTTTATTCTTCATATCAAAATAATATGCACACACTAATTTGAAGCATAAAAATAGTAGTTTCAAGTGTTTTTTACTGTAAAAATAAGTAGTATTTGGTATTATGGTATCTTTTATGGCTGAATTTAAAAAAAAAAATAGGTTCAAGAAAAATATTTTGTTGTTATTTTAAAAGGTAGGTTTTAAAAAATATATGGTTAAATTTGATATGAGATAAATTTGTATGTATAAAATAAATAAATAAGAAGTTTTCATAAATAAAAAATAAATTATTTTAGCTTTTATAAAATATTTGAAACGCAATTAATTATATATGGTTCTGGTACAAAAGGTAAAGTAATTTAACTAACAAAACAGTTTTTTTCCATGACCAGACGAAAAATAAAAATCATGACACTACCAAATAGCTTCTGATGTGGTCATTGATCCTAGCCATGTGTGCAGCTACAGGCAACAGCGTGTCTTTAGTATAGCCTCCACCTTCCAGGAATTTTCCAGCGAGCGAGAACTACTACCAGCACGTTTTGCGTTAATAAAGACATGAATTTGGACTAAGGTGGTGGGAAATGACTCGTTATCCTTGAAGTTTTGTTGCCTCTTTGTGCAAGCTGCTGCCTTTCTCTTGGGCACGTTATGGCCATACGAGATTTGATCAAATTTCTCTAGCGGAAGCAGTCATTTAGAGCGAGTGGGTTCGCCACATGCATCCCAAGATAAATAAAAATTAAAAAAAAAAATCCAACCCTTGATTTCACGATTTTATTCTCTTGTTGAACTCTGCCATTGCTCGAGCCCATAACGTATTATAAATGCGAAACTGCCTACATTGTCAGGCCCGAAAGGTCATTTGGCTACTGAAAAATAACCTGTGACAAAAAAGTTGACGATTGTTAAAAGGGTGGTTATGTAGAATTGTAGATCACCCTTCATCATCATCGCATATCGCTTCACCAAATTACAAAGAATTGAAGTTGTAGTCAAGAAATCCTCATCCCTTTTTTTCTACTTTTAGAGTTTAAAGTTAACACTTCGGGATTATCATTTAAATGAACTTATTTATATAAATACGTCAAGTTAATATGAAGGATGTCTTCTATGATCATTCCAATTAAAGCTTGATCTTTGATGCTTAAGTTAATCTAAAGATATCTTTTATTATTAAATCAAAATGATTCACGTTTATGCTACTTGTGCACAAAATAATCTAAAAATGTAGCTTTAAAGCAAATTAGGGGCATCCCTTGGTACTACATGAATCACAAGACATGGAAGAATTCCTACAATGATTAAGCAAGCAAAAAACAAAGTGTCATTAAACCTAACTTGGTATGGCAGGCCAATCCGAGAACTCATTAACTTGGGACCTAACCTCAGCTGGGTTTTATATTGAATCGAGTGAGAATTATCGATCAAATAAGTTAACTCATGATTGATCAACTCAACGTTGTATTGTTTTGAATTGAACTAGTTCAATCAATCCAAACCATGACTTGGACTTTAGGTTGGATAATGTGCTAAAAGTCAGGTTTTCTATCTATACAAGAACGTTTTGAATTCATGATTTGTGTCCAAGTTCTTGCTCCTTGCGCATATCAGTCATCATGCATGTGATTGATGGATGCACTAATGGCTTGAACTGGGCTCTTACAGAAAATGCTAACCCAAGTCTTTGCTTTGCACGTTTCGGCCTTGCCAGGAAAGCACCTTGGAGAAGAAGAAGCGTGCGCGTCATGTCGTGGGGCATAGGCTTTCTCGACTCCAAGTCCCTTGTCTTTTGCCGGCATGCCAAAAAAACAAAACATCTACTTTTATAGTTTTATTATTATTATTATTATTATTAAGATGAGTGTCTGATCAATTTAAATATATCTTAATTAATTTTATAAATTTTAAAATTAATAATTATATAAATTTTTAATAATAATTATAAAATTAAAACCTAAGATTATAGAAACAAACTTATTGGTCTCAAGTTTTTCTACTGACCACCTCCTAGATATTTAAGGCATCTTAGGGCATCGTGTTATCAACGGCCTTCGCTCAAGGTCCTTTTCAAATGCTATTCACAATATTTAATTTAGGTACAAGTGAGAGCATAAGTTTGCTTCTCAAGTTACTTCTTTTTGTCCTTTTTCTTCTTCTTTTGAGAGTGGAGAAAAAAATTTTTATTATTCCACTTGTCTCCCTTCTAGCCTGTGTGTATGAGAGATTAATGATCCAATTTATTAGTAATTGTTTTATCCTAATAATTAGCCATTAATATATATATATATGCTTTTTTTATAAAAAAAAATCCTCTCAAACTATGGATAAGATTTGGTGAAATGGAAATCATTAATCTTGAAATAAAGCGTTGGATTTCTTCATATACCCACCAAACTGTGGGAAAGAAACACCAATAGGTGAATCAAAGAAATTGTCATGTCTGTGTTGCGTTGTTGCTCTGAGTGTTGAGTGTGTAGATGGTAATAATTTTTTATAAAGTAATTTTTTATTTAAAAATATATTAAAATAATATTTTTTATTTTAAAAAAATTATTTTAAATATCAACATAACAAAATTAATTAAAAATATAAAAAAATTAATTTTAAAAAATTTAAAATTTATCCATGAAATGTTTAAGAGTATAATAGCAATTGTTTTTTAAAGTATTATTTTTTTAAAAAATATATTAAAAATAATATTTTTTTATTTTTAAAAATATTTTTTTCATACAAGGATATTAAAACGACTTGAAATATAAAAAAATAATAATAATTTTAGTAAAAAAATAATTTTTTAACAAAAAAAAATACAGATTAAACCACCTAAATAAACACACTGTGAAACGCAACACCAAACAGTAGAAAGACAGATCACCGCACCCCGGAAGCCGAGTATCCAGTTGGAAAAACAAATCATGGCAGCAACCTAATGTGACTCTCTCTCTCTTTCTTTATTTCCACTCCAATAAAAGTGCGACGCGTAAGAGAATGTTTTGTCCCCACGTTATAAATGCATGATAATGGCTGGTCTAGAAAGCAAGCTTAGTAATTAAGCTCCACCTCTCTCGGGTTGTCATAAAGTTAGTATTATGTTAGTGGGTATAGTAAACAAATGTTAAAATTATTGATTTTAAAGTATTAATTATTGTTGTTATATTTATTTTCAGGATTAAATTAATACATCTTCATAATACAGTAAAGATTTAAGTTTATAAACAACAATTTTTATAAGTTTTTTTAAAAAAATTTATTTTTGTTTCTAATAAATAGAATTAGAAAATTTATAGATAAAAATCAGTCAGAAAAAAAGACTTTTTAATTAATTTTTGCTAATATCAAACTCATATATATGAGAAAAATAACATTTTTTTCAGACTATTATGTCTGTAAAATTTAAAAAGTAACTCTTCAAATAAGTTAACTAATAACTTGGTAAGAGATGTCTTATATAATTAATTAATTTTAAAAATAAAAAATTTATTTATTTTACATAAAGCTAAATGCCCATGGGTCAAGTGTTATATATATATATATATAAAACACTTGACTTATATATATAACACTTTATATATAGTTTTTTTCTGTAATTTTTTTCTTTAACATCTAAATTTATTGAATTGACATCAAAATAAACTTTTGTATGAAATAAAACTTTTTTATTTATATAACTAGCATACAAACTGTTTTATAACCATTAAAAACTTATTTTATTTTTAAAAACAATTCAAAATAGTAATGATTTGATAAACACATCTAACTCTTATTAATTTATCTAACTTATAATTCAAGCATTGAATCAGATTAACTGTGTAAGAAAATGAGAAAATAAATTAGAATAAGTTATTCTAGAGACCATGAGTGGCTCCATATACAATAATAAAATGATTGTGCTAATTATATTACTCTCAAAAAACTATTTCAAAAGCTCAACTAGGGAAATAGACAAACCCTAATTTATAATTAAGTTGATGAACTTTGGCATGATTTTTAGCTAGGTAGCCCTCCACTTGTCGGACCGGATGATAAAATACCCGAGTTTAATAACTTTGCAAGAAGGTGAGAAAATAAATTTGTATTAGGTAGAATGAGTGCTCCATAAAATAATCTAAAACAATTATTTTAATCATAGTTCTCCACATAAACTATTCCAAAACCCCAACTAGGGAAGGAGACAAACACTAATTTATAATAAAGCTAATCAACTTTGGCATGATCTTAGCTGGGCAACCCTTCACTTGCTGGGACCTCCATGGATAGATCTTCAGAACTTGTTTTCTTTTCCTATATTCTCAAATATTATTGTTATTGAGCAATAAAATAGAGAATGCCGCGTGACAACGGGTAAACAAGGAAAATTATGTATTTCGTGCAACTTGGGGCGCTCATCTTAGTTGTCTCTGTGCAGTAACTTGAGCCTAAAATACTTTAAAATGTACAAGAAAACATTATATAATTTGATTTCTCAACCAAAAGATGCTTTGCCATCAAACACATACTAAAAAACCAAGTAGGGTTTGTTCAATGAATTTAAATATCAAGGATCCACTTCTTATACTAATTTTATCAATTTATTCTAGAATGCAAATGAAACTTGCAATATTAAAAATCTCTATCTCTCTCTATCACAAAAAAAAAAAAAAAAAAAAACACAAAGTC